TTTACTATGCTAGGAACTGTGTCAAATAATTTGCATAAAAACTTAATGAAGTAGATGCTAAACATCTCAATTTTGCAGGTGAATTAAGTGAGGCAACAATGATTTCTTAGAGGTCACAGAAAATAGCATCACCATCATCTAAGTGCAGCTATGTATGGCTCCAAAAACTGAATACTTTTCTAAATTGTGATATAAAAATCAAAGAACAGCCAGGTGTGGTGGCGCACACCTGTAATCCCAGCACTCAGGAGGTTGAGGTGGGAGGATCACAAACTCAAGGTCACCTGGGTTACACAGTGAGACCAAACCCAGCCTGAACTAAGAAGTGAGACCCTGTCTCAACAAAACAAAACAAAACAAAAATTTAATGAGTAATGATAACATATAGTACATTTTCAAGGGAATAAAAACTACCACTATTGGAAAAGTAAGGGTCAGGGTATTGCAAATGGACATGAAAGATTCCAAGTTGGAGTGGCAAGTACAAAGATATGGGTAACCATAGCACACTGAGAGACTAAGGAAAAATGTAAGAAGTGAATGGATACTGAGTTCAAATTATACAGTGCTTTGAAGGGGAATAAAGATTGCATTTGCCAAAGAATGAGGAAATTACTGAACTAACTCAAAAGGAGAGAACATCAGTATAACTGACTGGAAGAGGGAGAGAAAGTGGTAAGACCATTTCAGGAGCCACTGCAGCACTCAAACATGACATTGTAAAGGATGGGGAGAGGAACAAAGAAATATGAAAATATGTGCATCCCTGTAATCCCAGCACTTGGGAGGCTGATGCAGGACTATCACAAGTTCAAGACCAGTGGTGATTTAGCTCAGTGGTTCTGCTGCCCGCCTTGCAAGCCCAAGATCCCGAGTGCAATCCCCGGTACAAACAAATAAAGTAAAAGAAAACAAGTTCAAGCCCAACCTAGGCTATATAGCAAGTTTCAAGGTCAGCCTGAACTACAGAGCAAGACCCTGTCTCAAACAAATATACAATAAATAAATTAAAAATACAAAGGGATGTAGCTCGCTGCAAAGGCCCTGGGTTCAATCCCCAACACTGGGGAAAAAAAGTGAGTAAGACAGTGAACAATTAAAGGGAGGAGGAATCCATTATTACAGCATCTCATTGCAGATGAGATTGATGAAAGTCTCATTAACAGGAATAAAATAAATTAAAATGAGAAAGTACAGAATTCTATCCCTTGGCATCTATTTCTATTGCTTATTGTATAATGTTCTCATATATATCATCATTTCCAATGACATCTATTATCTGTGAAAACAATTAGAACCAGACGCAGAAATTTTCATCTTTCTTCCTAACTCCTTTCATGAATTTCTTTCACACATATATCATTTGCCTCAATAATTTCATGCGCCTTTAGAATGTAATTAAAGTCATGGGGGTGAAGTGCTTATGAATGGGATTAATGCCCATATAAAAAAGCGACCATATGCCAGGGATTTAGCTCAGTGGTTCTGCCGCCTGCCTCACAAGCACAAGGACCCGAGTTTGATCCCTGGTACCAAAAAACAAAAACAAAAACAAAAACAAAAAAAAACTTGACTCCAGAGAGCTCCCTATTTCTTTTTCTGCTATGTGAGAATATCACAAGAAGTCACAGCCTGCAAATTGGAAGATGATCTTCACTAGAACTTAATCTTACTGGCATTCTGATTTAGGGCGCCAGGATCTGGAAATGAAAAATAACTTCTGAGGTTGATAAGCCACCCGATCTGTGATATATTGTTTAGCAGCCTGAACTAAGGCACAGCTTCTACATTTCAACTACTTTAACTATCACATATTACACAGATTGAAGAAAAGTCTACTGTAGATTCAGGAGAATGAAAACACAATTTAGGTTTTAGTATAAAAACAGTTTTGAGGCCAGGGAAGCAGCTCAGTGTTACCAGGCCTGCCTGGCAAGCACAAAGTCCTGAGTTTGATCCTCAGAACACCCCCCCACACACACACAGAAAACCCTGAAAAACCAAAAAACAGTTTTTATGTTGTAATCCTGTAGGTGCCCAGACAACATTTTGAAAACTACTGCTACATAGTATTCTATCACTGAAGGACATCTGAGTTGTTTCTACAAGTATTTATTAAGTGTCTAAAATTATATTTTTGGCTGGGCCTGTAATCCCAGCACTCAGGAAATTGAGGCAGGAGGACTGTTAGTTAGAGCCCAGCCTATGCTACATAGTAAGTTCAAGGCCAGTGTAAACTACATAGTGAAACCCTGTCTCAAAAAACAAATGATCAATTATCAATCAATCAAATTATATTTCAGGAATGGAGCTAGAAGACTTCACTTATTCAGCAAAGATCATGAGTATCTGCCAATATCTCTCTGCTATGTTGTATTTATTCTCTCATCCTAAACTAATATCCTTATTAATGTTACATGTGGAAATCTAAATCATACTAACATTCTAAATGTGGAAACTGAAACTCTTCCTAGCCAATCAGAGCTGAAGACAATTCCGTATCTCTCTGCACATTCATAATAGCAGCAGCTGTTCTACTTTTAACCCTGTCACATGTAAGCAGAGAAAGTAATCAAGAGAAGCTCAATCTTATGAGATCCTAAGCTGTCACTAGTTATCATTTATCTCAAGGCTCAGATGATAACCTCCATAAAAAGAAAGTTTTTCTAACTCTTCACAGACCAGATCATATTTCATCTTAACTACTAAATCACCCCTGAGCTTCTTAGCACAAAATCTTTATGTGAAATCCTAGAGCTATCTGAATTTCTTTTTTTCCCGTACCAGGGAATGAGTTCAGGTCCTTGCGCTTACAAAGCAGGCGGCAGAACCACTGAGCTAAATCCCTGGCCCTATCTGAATTTCTCTTATGACATTTTTCACACTATACCTTCCCTATCTTATTTCTGCTACTAGAAATTAATTCCTTAAAGTAAATTACTGCATCCTTACATAGGTCCAGAATCTGATTAGTCCAAAGCATTTATCAAGTATTTAAAATACTACTGAATATTTTTTTTTTTTGCTTCTGTGAACTTGTTACTATATATATATTGTACATATGGTATGTAAAATGTGGTATATTGAGTAACAACTGTAAGAAATTTTAGGGCTGGGATTTAGCTCCGTGATTCTGCAGCCTGCCTTGCAAGCGCAAGGTCCGAATTTGATACCTGGTACCAAAAGAAAAAAAGAAAGAAATTTTAAAATATAAATCAGTGAGATATATTCGTTTTGCTATGGCTAAATATATGCCATGAAATTTACTAACTTAGGTTTGGCTACTTCAGAAATTATTAAAGAAGAATAATTTTTTTCATAAAGTCTAATCTGTTATACATATATTTTCAGGATATGCGAGTGTATTAGCTATTAAAGACATAATAATGTTCAACCTACTGGAGATTTTTTTTTTCCAACCCAAAGAAGATCAACTGGGAACTTAAGAATTTTTTGTATATGTGAAAGAGATTTTTTTTTTATTTGACCAAAGGTTTACTCTAAAATACTGATAATTGCTAAAAAAGGTAATCAATCATGTAATAGAGCTCAGTTACTATTGTCAATCTACTTTACAACAAAATGATTATAAATAAGCTTTCAGATTACCAAAAGTAATTATATACAGAGAGTTTCAACTCCAAAGGCTGAGGCAGGAGGACTGCTACAAGTTTGAGGCCAGCCTGGATTCCACAGTGAGTCTAAGGCAATCCTGGACTACATAGCAAGAGCTTATCTCAAAAACAACCAAATCAAACCCAAACAAAAAATGAAAATGAGTTTCAGTTTATAGCTAAAGCATTCAACTTGGAATTTACCTTTGGAGGACTTAGGAAATTCAAAAGGTCTTGGATGCACAGATAGTTTTGAGTGTATAGGAAGGGGTTGGGGTACAGCTCAGTGGTAAAGCACTTACCAAGCACAAGACAGACTTTGAATTAGATCCCTAGCGTGCGCACGCACACACAGACACAGACACAGACACACACACACACACTCAAGCCTGGAGGTATTTTCCATGTAGAATATATTACTCTCCACATACTAACAGGTTTCTCATTTAGAAGTTTGTTTCCTACAACTCTGTAGAAGTAGTAGACAAATATGGTTTAAATCAAATTTAAGAGAATTTTTTTGTTAGTTTGTTTTTGAAACAGGGTCTTACTTTGCAGTTCAGGTTGGCCCTGAACTCACTATGTAGCCTAGGCTGGCCTCAAATTCGCACTGATCCTCGTACCTCTGCCTCCCAAGTGCTGGATTAGAGGCATGCACCACCACACCCAGCTCAGAGAATTTTCTAGTAAATAGAGTTGTCACCAACAATAAATTAAGATGTCTTGTGAGAAGGTATATTCTTTCACTGACTGTGCTTAACTAGAATTCCTTAATTATCAGAGAGTCTGTTAATGAAACATGTCAATGGAAAGAAAATAAAATGTTATAATATGTAAGATCTTTTGGAATTTTAGATTATTTATAAACTGAGATTACTTTAAAATTTCTTTTATTTATTTATTTTTTGGGTACCAGGGATCAAACTTGGGCCCTTGTGCTTGCAAGGCAGGTGGTGGAACCACCCTAAAATTTCTTTTAAAGACAGGGCTTCGCTATGTAGCCCAAGCTGGCCTCAAACTCACAGTGATCCTCCTGCTTCAGCTGGCGAGCTTCGATTACAGGTGGGTACCACTGTGCCTGGATGGTTTTAAGAAATAGTATTATTGGGCCAGGGATTTAGCTCAGTGGTTCTGCCACCTGCTTCACAAGGGCAAGGTCCCAAGTTTGATCCTCGGTACAAATAAAATTAAAAAAATTTTAAAAAAATTACCTATTTAAGAAAACAAATTTTAAACCAGGTTTTAATAACAAAAAAAAACTCAGAACAGAGGAAGTAGAAATCACGAGCAGCTATTTTTCTCTAGGTTTTAAGTACATGCTAAGGACAGTATACTAAGCACAAACAAATAATAGCACTTTAAACAAAGCTTACTTTAGAAACTTACCAGAATTCTGCTGGATTCCCCACCGTATTCTCATCCTGAACTGCCGAGCACTACTTTGCTGGAGTCTTCTATTTAGTCTTGGAAAATTCTGCTTCTTTCCTTCCTTTCTATTTAATTTGATAATATCATCTACAATAGAGGGAATGCTATAATTATTTTCATCTTAACTTAATGGCCAGGGGTGGTGGCACATGCCTGTAATCTGAGCACTCAGGAAGCTGAGGCGGGAGGATCACCACGAGTTCAAGGTCAGCCTGGGTTAACTGGTAAGTTCAAGGATAGTACTATTAGTAACAAGCTACATAGTAACTGAGCTACATAGTTCCCTGTCTTGAAAAAAAATTTTTTAACTTAATGACTCAATTACTTAGCTCATTTTCTAGTTAAGAAATTATGTCCTTAACTTCTTTTGTAGTTTGAAAACAACATTTCCATATGAGGATACTAATAAGGAAGATAAAGCTGAAATCAGCCATTTTCCTTGGTGTGTTGAAACTTTTTGTAGGAAAAGTTCAAATCGGTAACCCAAAGCAGATCTACTTTGAATTTTTTGGGTTAGTAATTTAATAATAATGCACTGTTTCTTTAAAAGAATTATTATGGGAAATTCTTGAATTCAAATAAACCATTTAGTACATTAAAACAAACAAAAGCATCAACAAAGCAGATCTACCAATACCAATTAATGTAGAGTTCTACTATCTATAGCACTTCTTTCTCTAGTGAAAAGAAATTTTTTTGGCCTCAGCCTCTCACATGCTGCGATTACATGTATGAGCCACCATACCCAGTTTCCTAGTGAATGTTAATAAGCAAAAGCTTATTTAAAAAATTAATCACACTATACTTACTTTCCATATTTACAGGTCTCCATTTTTTTAAAGTAAAAAAAAAACAAAAAACAAAACAAACAAAAAAAAACACCCAAAACCAAACACAAGTAAAGCATTCAATTAAAGACCAAATTTCAAGCCAGACATGTTGGCACATGCCTGGAATCCCAGCACTCAGGAAGCTGAGGCAGGAGGATCGCTGTGAGTTCAAGACCAGCCTGGGCTACATAGTGAGTTCCAGGTCAGTCTCAACTACATAGTGAGACCCTGTCTTAATTTAAAAAAAA